TGTATGTTTGTAAACGCACCCACGATACAGGAGAAATTCCTATGAGGGGCAACGTTTAAAAAAAACTTATTCAAAATGCTTCTGTAACATAGTAATTTAATAACTAACCCAAATAGTCTGTTTTGCTGTAAAAATATTTAATGTTAAAACTTGAGCAGCATTTAAGTACCAGGGGAGCAGTTTTTGATTAGAGTTTCTACTAAGTATGTAGTTTCGTATAGTTATATTAACTTTTCACTTACATAACCAAGAAACGAGTATTTCCTTCTTCTACCGTCGTTAACAGATAATGGTTTACGTGCACTTAACAACGTCACACGTGGTTAGTTTTATAACCTTTCCCTATAAGAAACTCGGTTATAGAGTGTTCCGAATGTTAACTCATTATTTTATCGATTTGTCAGCACTTTTATCGAAGTACCATTATTAAATACACATTTAATTTTAATTCGGCAATATAATACAAAAACCGTCTACAAATATCTAAGTTCGTTTTCGAAACATGTATATCACAATATATACTACTGTGTACATCTGTCCTGTGATAATTATCTACTACGACTACGGCCTACGAGTACTGCTACGGCGTAGCACTTTACGTAGCCCAGATTCGTAGTCCATTTTGATACCAAGTTTTAGCTTTGTTAGAAGATTAGTTATATTTTATAAAATTTGTACAAAATACTATAGTTAAAGCGAATATAACATAACATCAGGCTTTTTACTCCGAAGGGGTAGGTAGAGGTGCACGTTACGGCACTTAATGCCACTGTACAATGTAACCCACATTTCACTGTTTATGTTAGGAGTCCCAGGTGGTGAGGCATAAATAATAAAATAAAAATAAAAAAGCCATTTATTTCTTACGGGTAATTTTACATTTTATTCTTGCTGTTAGTGTTGTTAGTGTAAATTAAAATCTTAAAGTTAATTTATTGTTAGTGTTGGTTAATTTATTGTGAGGCATACATACTTTTAAATATTTTACCAAATCATCTTATATTCGAGTGCATCTCAGTAAGTGTAACAACTCCTCGATCAAGACGTACAGCGCGTCTATTCCTGAACTATCCGATATTCCAGCTACAACTCTACAAACATAATTCTGCCCGCCGCTAACTTCCAGCGAACTATAACTTCATCTTACTCTCAACGTCATAAGGTCTAAAATAGTTGAAACTGCAATATATCAACGGTAAAATATAGTCAGTGGAGCATATGATTTATCTTGCTTGAACTCGAGTAGAATTTCTAATATTTGACGTATGACAAGGATGGAAATATTTACTCTGCTTCATTGCAAACCTTCTAGTTTATTCAATAAAAAAAAAAATCTTTAATCTTGGAAACTACATACTATCAAATTACTTAAACGGTATAGATATGGAGTCAAAAATATCCATGTTTCCTTATTAATATTATTATTTAATAAACAACGTCAATATTCATGTATTTTGTGGTAAATACCATAATACACTATCTCACGATAGAAACCGAATAACATTATAACTATGTGTTCAATTTAATGTGATCATAATTCACTGCCAAAATATTTGATACAGTGACTCGCGGTTACGACATAATACGGGGTAAATTCGTTACTTAGACGGAGCCTCGCGTCATGTAGAAAAAGGCTTTGGTTAAGAAAACAGGAAAATTCCATCACGAAAGTCACCGCGAACTTTGCCGCAGTGACGAATGATGGCCGACCGAGGAACGACTCGCGAAAACAAGCGACGATCTCTCTTAATTTACTCGATAGTTTACTCGCAATGGTACATCTCTATTACGGACAACACTACGACACTCCTGGCGACAATTGAGCCATTAAAGATTTTTATCACCTCCACTGTAGAGTAATTTAGCTATAAGACACTTTATTGCAATTAAAAGTGTTTAGAAATGCTTCAGAAAAACTTAACAGTTTTACGACAACGACATCTTTATCGTCATTACTATGATAGCCATTGCAAAATGTTGGGTACTTTAAACTCTGTCATTTACAAAGAACCTTATTCCCAGTTATGCGGTTGATGTGAAGTAAAAATCTCAAAGATTAAAGAATGCGCCTGTACCTACTTACTTCAAACAAAAGATACGAAGCTGAATTCCAACTCCATTTTTCCTTTGCCCTTTCAAAATCCGTTGAAATGACGACAAAATGTTTTAAAAGGCGTGTTTATGAGAGCCGACGTAATTATACCAAAGTCTTTGCCGTCAGAAATGAAGAAATTCGAGAGCAAAAATGCAGGAATACCGGTTACAACAATAGACAATGAGATATGCATCAGAATTTTAGAAAATGTTTATAATTGAAAAATATTCTTGTTATTACTGTAGCCTTTAAACATGGCCTTATTATTTTATTTAAACCGTTTTATTTAGCTTGCTCCATTTGTTTGTATCCTTGGGTCAAATTAAGTCATTCTTATGTCACCTCCCTCCTGATAACAGATCGATCTGATATTTGATACATTACACTCTTGATATTGATGACCATACAATATATTTCTTCCGCAACTACCTCCATTATGGATACTAAACGAAAGGATATATTGGTAGAATAGAGCTAATTAAAACTTAAAAAGGTTTTTTACGTATTATTTATTTATATTATCATGGATAAAGTAACACACTCTGACTGAAAAATCAAGCAAATCTTATAAAAAAAACCTCCTTATTCCCCCCCCCCCACCAATTATAATCCTAAACTGTAAAATTAAAGATGATTACCCTAATTTGTGAAACTTCAAACTTTTTTTGGAAAAGGTGTTCAGATGTAAACGAATCCATTCAGTATAATCAACAAGACACTACGCTAACTTCTTGAGAACTTTGACTACGTAACTTGATACGATATAATTATAAACTTTCTAACTGGTTGAACATAATTACAAAAATTTTCCTCTCCCAACGGTATCTTATTCGAATTTAGATTCTGAATCCTTATTGATCGTTTCCTTGCGCCCCACGAAAAGGATGGGTAGCACTTAACCATATGTTAGAGAGGGATAAATATATATTCCTCAATATACTCTAAGCCCAGAGAGGATATCTATGGCTCGAGAAGGCTGTAACGGGATTTTCGATCCTTGAAGCGACTTGGGGATACATGATTTTAATAGGCGTAGAGTACGGTTTAAGTGTGATACATACTTTTATTTTCAAGATAGGAAATTTTATTCTAATTGTGTTCAAAATCTTGGTGAATACTTTCTGTAGTTCTAGTATATCGAGCTTGAAAAACGTAAAGTGGTTAAGACGGATGTTTTAGAACACAGGAACCTTCGAAGTTCCACGCAGGCGAAACCACGGTTGGAACACTAGTCTATTATATTGCATTAAGTGTAATAAATGTACCTTTTGTACTACATTTCAAAAGTGTACAGCTTTTGTTAGAGATTTGTTCAGTAATAACCACTTTGTTCTGTGTTCTGTAAAGGAGGCTATTAATATCATAAAGTGCAACCTCGCACGTTTTATTATATTAGCGGTAAATAAGTGTTCCACGTTGTACTGTGTTTGTGTGTGTGTGTGTGTGTGTGTGTGTGCTGTATACCGACTTTATGTTCATACAACATGTTACTTCATATTTATGTACGTAACAAAGACATCTTGTTCGTTATAAAATTAAATGGTAAGGGCCACATTTTATCGTTTCTAGAATACATATAAATGATACATTAACGTGAAGTGTGGAAGAGCCATGCTTCGGTACGAATGAACGTGAACCAACGCTTGCGTTGTGTTTCCTCGTGTGAGTGAGGTTACCGGAGGCCCAAACACCCCCTCCCCAATCTCCCTAATCCCCGAATCCCCAATATTTCTCAAATTCCTAATTACTGAAAGGACGATAACACCTCCGGTGTTTCGGGTATCCATGGACGGTACATAAAAAAATTACGTTAAAACAGTTTTAACTGTCCGTCGGCTGGTGGAGTTGCCGGGCAACGTATCACTTATTAAGAACCATCATAATATGACAAAGCCAAAAATATTCAAAACGGTAGTAGTAAAACTAATTGCTTACGTCTTGTATACGTTTATGAAAGCTTGACCAATATATTGAAACACTGTACATACTTATCCGAAATTCGAATATAAAATGTAAACTATACATTATTGCGACTAATTACCTATTGACCTAGCTGTTTCCATTGCCATTATAAATCCTAATTAACTATTAATCCGTTAATTAGCGCAACATTTTGTATGCATCCGTTTGGTTCTGCGAAGCGGTAATTTTACATCGATATGCTTTTTAATTTTTTAACATTACCCTACACTAGGATTTTTCCTGTCTCGTCCGTGGGTTTACAAACATACACATGACACCCAGACCACAACTTATGGATCACACAAAGAGTTGACCGAGTTCGATTCCCGCACGGAACAACACCTTGTGTGATCCACAAATTGTTGTTTCGGGTCTGGGTATCATTGTGTATGTGAACATGTATGTTTGTAAACGCACCCACGACACAGGAGAAAATCCTAATGTGGGGCAACGTTTTTAAAAAAAAGAAAAAATATTACACCGTTCAGGAATCGAACCCACTTCGTTACGCGGCAGCCCAGCCCAGCCCAGTTGGTTGCCCAGCCACCACATCAACCGTGCAGTCGATATTACGAGGCTTATAGGCCGTACGAATTGAATAAAAATGAATTAAAATAAGTTTACTTAATTAATGAAACATTTGGGTGCCGAGTTATTAGATACCTGAATTGAGAACACATACCTGAATTAAGGAACCTCTCGATCATTATAGGATGGTATCGCATAACATCACGCCTTTTATCTCCGAAGGTTAGGGGTAGACAGATAGACACATTACGGCACTCAACTATTTATGTTATGAGTCCAATGTAATAGGGGGCCCTAACCCTATTGCCATGGACAGAGACTATATACTCCAGACTTGCACGGAGCCTACTGAGAAAACTTAAATAAAATATAACTGTACAACTATAAATGAAATGAGTGAATTTGAATGCATAATTCACACAAAGTGTACCTTAGACTCTGTAGTAGACAATCAAAGAATGTTTAGTAACAAAATGAATGGTTACTTAAACAATATATTGGACTTACCGCTTGTGACTTGAAGAGTAGTTGTGAAGAGACATAGCAGCGACAGCGACAGGCATCCGAGCAAGTTGAGCCAATATGCCGCGGCCATACTGTATCCTGCAAACAATTCATCATCATGCAAGTTCTTGCTGATAAAGCTAACATTTACTTTACCTAGAAGAAATATTGAAAACGAATCTATACTAATATTATAAAGAGGAAAGATTTGTACCTATTTTTGTATATTTGTAATGAATAGGCTCAAAAAGTACTGGGCCGATTTAAAAATTTTTTCACCAATAGAATGCTACATTCTTCCAATTTGACATAGGCTACAATTTCATTTTGAAAAAAATAGGGATCCTTGGTAAAATTTGAACAATGTAACCGAAGGTGTAGAAAAATGAGTCTTTAATGTCTTTCGTCGAATGCGCTGCCGAAACTATTAGCGATAGAACAAAATAATGTATGTACAACAATATTGAAGAACATCATAATGTCGACAAAAAACTCCAAGGTAGCATATGTCCAACTATTGTAGTTATGTCACTACAACAATCCAAATTTCCAAAAATAAAAAATGTCTACCCCGTGCGAAGCCGGGACGGGCTGCTAGTAAGTAATATTTTAGCCACTGATCGATACAATAGCACATCTGACATGTTAACAGTTTAAAACTCGAAAGTTAGTTCAGAAAAAGAAACTAATATTTCTTATTTCAGTTAATATTTATTTATTTATTTTAATAAGTAATATTCAACCATTGTCTTCTTGCTTTAGTATCACAATCACAATATTTTATTCTTCTTTAATAGTAGTACACACCGCCATCTAGCGGGAGGTGCTGACACTAAAACTCGTACACCAACCCTACTGTAGCTTCGTGTTTAGAAAACGGTTGGAACAGGCAACCAGCTGACTACGTAGTATGGCGTGAAACGGGTAGATGGCGCTACTAAATGGAATTTGAGAATTTTGTTCATGAGTTTTCTTTCGGCAAAATAATATTTTAACAGTAGGGACATGGCAAGTAATAATTTTTTGGTAAAGAAATACTTACCATATCGTCAGCATGTGTGTTTGCGACGCGGCCGTCCGCCCACCATAGATCACCTGAAAAGATAACATTCAGCATTTCAGTATTTCTGTAATCGTTGACGCTTTAAAATTATATCACACACGTCTTTGTCTACCCTTAAAATATATATGAGCCTATAATAAAAATTAATAATGCAAGCTTCCGTTTTAACTATGCAGTTTTATCTGTATAGTGAAGTGCACAGTTAAATCGTAGGTCCACACAGCATACACACCTTCAGTTAAAACTGTATAGTGCAATTGTTTACTCTACACACATATTCAATAGACATAAATAACAACGTAACTATGTATCACATTAAATAAAATCATGATAATTATCTCAACATCTATACGAGCTATGCTTATTGCATAGCCTAGTGTGTACCGTAGCATCGTAGTACCTTGCTTCGTAGCGGAGTATAGCAATGTAGCACGAGCCTACGTCGTAGCTTTATCATAGAATACAGACTATTATCTGTAGTAACTTATTGTAATACAAAAGTGGTCTTTACTCTTTTTATTTCCTTACTTACGTGTATAAAAATATACAGAAAAAGAAACATATTTACGAAATACCTCATCAAAACAATACATCATCGTATATGAAATAAAATAATCAAATAAACACTACTTCATCTCTCGTAGCGTAGCGTAGCTTCGTAGCGACACAGCGATGTAGCAGTGTAGCAAGAGGCTACGAAATACCGTAGCTCGAGGCTACGAAGTGCCGCAGCTTTTGTTACAGAATATTCAATTTATTTTCTGAACGACGAGTATTATTTGGCTGCATCGCCAACTTGTCTTGTCTAACAAGAAGAAGAAAATTAATCATGACAGATAAATGGACACCTAACCTAGTTGTTCTATTTTAGAAAACACTTTTAGTTGCATTTTTGCGGATGAGACTTTAGCCTTTTTAATGTTTTTTGTTATGTAAAGTTTACCAACAATTAATATAAAATAATAATGTAATAAGCTATACTGACCATTTTTGTGTATCATAAATATCAATGTAAGGTAAACGACAGTCGTCTTACAAGTACGATTATTATAAAGCTAACTTCTACTCCATTCAATAAAAATAGCACTATCTACATCAAGTACGGAAAAACAATTTCCTCGTGCGTGCCACACCTCTCAAACCGATCGAACAAGGAGCCAATAAATATAAAACGAATGAACATCACTTTTGAGAGACATCCCACGAACATAACTTCACTGAAACACCATACGTTCCCCACGCCCAAGTACCTTCAAAATGTTCCCATAAAATTGGCGAGAGGGGAGAACGTGAGACCGTATTTACTTTAATAAAATACTGAAAATCAAAGGGGAAATACTTTAACAAACGACGCAAAACGTTTTAATAAAGCAAACAGACTCGATTGGCGAGTACACAGCGGCCGGCGTCCCTGCTTCTATGTGTTTAATAATTTTGTAATAACACTGACGGATGACGGCGCCTTTTTCTCTTTAAATGATAATTGAAATGTAAATTGTTGTTCAAGTCTGGATGTGTGGTGTATAATAATGGAATGGAATGAAAATGGAGTTTCTTGCTCGTCTATGGAGTTTCTTGCTCGTTCTATGGAGTTTCTTGCTCGTTCTTCTCCATAGGAATCTACACCTTGGAATGAGCAAATAGCTTCACTTTTAAATTTCTATTGCTGACGTTCAAAAGTGCCTTCCTGGTCTAATTGAAATAAATGTTTTGACTTTGACTTTGAAATCCATCATGTTTTAGTGATAATTGAAATTGCACCCAAAAGTCTACGTTTACAATCACCAAAGCAGTTTAGTAAAAGTGAGAGTACACAAACGCCGTTCGATTCATATTTTTCGTTTTCACTTTACACGCCGGATTTTTGTCGAAATTGCATGGGCCAATATTTTTTCTAACATTTTACAAAGATGAAACTCAAAGCGAATAAATTACATCGTACGCAAAATATAAAGAGAATTAAAATGATGAGTTTTACAGCAAATCCGGCTTTAATTACTTTTTGCTTTGAGGTATTTTTTGTGTAAAATAAGGATTCGTTATAAAATGTACAAAATATCTATTAAAAAGAATTTGTAGGCTTTCAGTTCTTGGTTCAAATATGTATGAAAATATATTATGTTGCCATGACACTAATCAATTTTGGAGAATGGCGTACATTCAGCTGCTTATGAGGAAAATTTGGCAATTTACACCATAATACATTTATATTTTCTTTTTTGTATACATTTATAAATATTGCTTTTAACGTTTCATATTTGTATTAATCCCACTTCGCTTGCTGCTCAAGTGATAACAAGTGTGACTACTTCGTAAAAAGTCCAGTGCACTTTTCCGGTTTCAAGAAATTCTATAATAGCAATTCCATTCACCCCCCAGTACAAGTAACTTATAACAAAACTGAAAAAAGTGGCTTTATGATGGATAGAACTTTACCTATTCCTTTGAAGAATACGATTTGAGATTTTATATGCATTAAACCAGTAATTCATTTCGTATTATGATTATTCCCATAACTTTTACAATAATAATTAATAAGAAATGTAAATAATTTTGTTAAAAAAAACCATTCTTAAATCATTTTTAAATTGTTATAAGTTTCTTTTGTAAGTAAGTAAATAATTTTGCAAGAAATAAAAGGCTTGTTATTTTCAAATGAAATTCTCAAATAAAATAAATAAATATTTATTTTATTTGAGAATCGATGTTATTTACCTACATATAAAAGTAGAGAAAAAGGCTGTAATCGTGGGTTTAAAAAAATCTCAGTAGTAGCAAGGAGTCCGGAATTGTGGCCGGTATATGGCAATAGGCTCACCCTCATTACATGAAACTCAAAACATAAATAGTTTAAAATGGGTGTTACATTGTACAGTGTCATTAAGTGCCTTCATGTGCACCTCTGCCTAGTCTGTGTATCCCTTCGGGGATAAAAGGCGTGATGTTATGTAGAAAAAGACTGGTGGTAAAATAAACAACAAGTATGTTCGTGTTCATTGGAAATGAAAGAAATAGAGAAAGCGTAGATGTTGTACAAGCGGGAATTTGAGCGAATTAAATGAAACTACTGAACATATTTGTTCAGCACTTTATTTAACATTCCACGTTTTATATTTCCAGCACTTTTACGAAGTGTAGTCTTTGCGAGAGGAAAACTTTGTTGCATCAAATGGGCTATGTAATTTTTCATATTTTCCTTCGTTTTTCGTAAGCTCAGTATGTGTGTTTTGCTACTTTGTGGCAGTGACCTGAATTTTCTGTAATATATACTAATAATTTAAAAATACGCAAACATTTTCAATACCGTATCACTCTTTGAATTGTCATCAGTTACTATGTCTGTCTTTCACTTTCTTTTATAAGACACACTAAGATACATTGTTTCAGAACAAATATAAGATTTATAAACAACAATTAATCAACAGAATCGAAGACTGACTCATTAAATAAAACCCAGCACGGAATGACACCACGAAAAACTTATCCTCGTTCCTTAATCGAAAATCACCAACTTGATCCGGAAGCGGGATGAAGCCGACCTTGCAAATTGGGTCACCCAACGAACCACAGCTCCTTTATCGAGTTTATTTCACATAGCGACCTCTAGCGGACCGGCGGAGAACATAAAGTTATTCACAACTATGTTAAGTAAACTTTGACTACAGAGGGCCTAGTACGAGTATTTTTTTACGCAAACGCGATCGAAAAGTAACCGTTTTTAGCCTTCTGATTGGTTGGTTGATTAGGGCTGGCCAATCAGAGCGTCGAACGTCATAAGCATGTCGATCGTGTTAACATAAAACGAATTCGCACTAGACCTTCAGAACAGCGATGAGTCGGTAAATATTTTAAGGGCGATATTCCCATATATTTTTATTCGACGTTTAAGGCGATGGTGACGGTGACAAGAAAAGCTTACGATCCTCCGATCTATTGTGAGACACCTTTATGTATCGCTATCCCTTTCTCACGGTATTTTCTCATTTTATCGTCCAGATAAAGTGGAATACGTAAGCTGCTGAACATTT